TTGTTCCATTTATTATTATGAGTGTGAGAGAGAGACACAGAGAGTGAGAGAGAGACAAAGAGTGAGAGGGAGAAGGAAAGAGAGATAGAGAAGGAGGGAGGGAGGGGGGCTACCGCACAGAGAGAGAGAGAGAGAGAGAGAGAGAGAGAGAGAGAGAGAGAGAGAGAGAGAGATGTTGAAAATATTCGCAGCCCGTCAGGGTTGCGTTTTATGCCCCTGAGACATTTTTCGTCGTCGTTCGTTATACCGATCGTTCATTCGGGCCCATTGGTCGTTGAAAGGCTGGTAAAATGATTGGCACGGGCATTTAGGGGGGGGCGACAGTTCAAGCAAATGCAGGACCGGTATTTGCCAGTGGCATTTTCCTGTGGGAACCGGTAGGTGGCCGTGGTCCAAAATATTTTGAAACGGTGTGGGGCCGCAGGTCCTTGAAATTCAAATATGAAACGGCGTGGACCCAGGCAACAGCCTCATGCCCAGCCCACCCACTTCGGCCCAATCGGCCTAGTCACTGTTTTGGATGATTCTGTCTGAATCTGGAAGCATTTATGAGCCAGATTCAGGGACAGAGATGTTCTCTCTCTCTCTCTCTCTCTCTCTCTCACTCTCTCTCTCTCTCTCTCTCTCACACACACACACACACACACACACACGCATATACACACACACATGGCCTCGCCACAGCCAAAACGAAACAAACTACAAACTACGGGCTGCGTGTGATACGCAACCTCACGCCCCCTCGCAGCTTCCCGTACGAGGTCGCCGATCAGAGTTCTAGCAGGGGAGTGGCCGAAGATTTTTGGCCGTAAGGGTTGAGTCTCCCGGACGGAATGGGAGACTCTCGTTTCTTGGCCGAGGTTTTTCTCGGAGTCGAACGGTCGTCACGAAGTCCCGCGGGGGTCGGATTACTCCGAAACGATAAAATCAGAAGGGTTTCAGTGAAAATGAATTGCCATCGTGCATCGGGACGGGAAAAGGCATCAAGGGGAGGAGGCCATGACGGCAGACGACAAAAACTCCGGCGTCATGGGTTCCGGGGATAGATGGTGGGTTCGAAGCCTTCAGGCCTCGTCATCGGCCCCACGAAGTGGCCGAACCCTCGGGTCTTTTGCTGTAGAGGTGGTTGGTTCGAGGCCTTCAAGCCTCGAAGTCGGACTCATAGAGCCCGCGCGAAAGTTTTCGGGAGGGTAGAGCGGCGGGAGGACCCGCCGACATCTGAATTCGAAATTGCGCGGGCAGCGCCACCGTACTACGGGAAAGCTCGGGGAAACGTGTCGCTCCCTCGTAACCCAGGACCAGCCGTCGCCACGAACACGAGTCCCCCTGGCGACACCAGCGACAATCAAACTGCGGTCGCCACGCGGCGTGAGCGGCCGACCAGGGCAACACCGTTAAACCCGTATAAGGCAATATTAGAGTCAGGGAATCAAAGCGATCAATCAACACAAACCTGTTCCCCCTTATCTCACAAGCCCGAGGCGGGTCTTGCCAACACACTTGCTCCGTCCGCCTCAGCACGCGCCGTACGTCCGCATCGCAGTAGATGCTGTCGTCATCTGCGATGGGGAAGGTCGGTAGTGAAATGAGACGATTGGAGGTACGTGGTGAACACGGGCAAATCCCGCGTTCCCGGTCATCCGAACCAACACCGAATCCATACAACAAACGTCGCAACTCTTCTCTCTCGAAAGTGAGTGTGTAGGGGGAGGATGACGAAATCTAAGCTTTCTCCCCTTGGCGGGGGTGTCGATCGTTCGCGCGGACGCAGGCGGTTGACGTCACCGGTACGGGGACGAGAAGCTCTAAAAGGCGATGACTGTTAGTTCAAGAGGAAGGCTATCGAAAAGGGAGAGAAAGAGAGTTACGCCAAGCCCGCACGGGAGCGCAGGAAAGGCCGCGGAGGGGAGGGGAACAACCGGATCAACACACTCATACTCCTAAGCAGACGGTCCCCCAGTCCAGTTTCCCCATCCCCGCCCGGACGAGTACATACACACATACATGCATGCAATCAACAACCCTTATCAGGACATCTAATCATCCATGGACCTTCGACGTCACTCATGCGCATAACCAACTCCCATCACTCGGGGCTTACACACACAACATGCATAGATAAAGCAGCAATGGAGATAAAAGCGAGTCCTTCTTGTACACAAAAATTTCAATTAACTGCTGCCCCCAGGCGCAGCCTTCAAAACTTCCCAAGATCACCGACCACCATAGCCACAAGGCCTTGCCACGGCCAACGTCCAATCCCCACCACTGCTCAGTCCCTCTGACTGCTTCGCCCCGAGACTACCGCGGGGTCCACCCCACGTCGTCACTCCGCCCGTCCTTGGGCTCGTCGAGCCTGTTCGGCGCCGCGGACTCTCGCGCATTGCTCGCGCAGCATTGCAGCCGAGATCAAAGAGAGGGAGAGGAGAGGGTTGCGCAAATTTATAGCGCGGGAGGCGGCGGGTTAACAGCGCGAGGTGCGGGCAGCGCAGGGTGTAGATGAGCAAGACAGTAGAGAGAGGTGGGGAGTTAGAGGGTTCGATCCGCGGGATTGCATGGCTACGTGATTGGGGTGTTCGTCCAAGTGGTGCGCAATTTCCCGCTTTCCACATTGATCCGAGCATCCCAACTATGCAGCCAATCACTTTGCGGAGGAAGACAGGGTAAGGATCAAGCTGGGCGTAAGGGAAGACGAAGAGTCCTGCATGGGAAAAACGCACGCAGCAAGAAGGGAAGATGGCGCGAGGATGAAAAGCAAGAAACGGGGATGCGAGACGCGCGAAGAAACCGGAGCTTGGGCGCGCTCGCAAAAATTCAAAAAGTCCCAACTGCACCCGTTTTTTGGTTTTCATACCGCGGCCGCTATTCGCCCGCGGGAGTTATTAACCAAACAAAATGAAAAAGCCGTTTCAAAAAGAAAACAAAAGCAAAAAGAAAGAAAAACCTCTTTCTATCCGCGTCCGTACTTCGGGGCTTCCGCGGGATTTTTCCTCAGGGATACGGCAAGCCGCGCGGTACGGATCTGAGCTTATCACATTTGTGATACGCAGGGGGTTCCGAAAAATTAGCAGTCTCCTGACTGCTGATGCCATCATATCATGGATGATCGGGCGGCGTCTTCATCGTCAGCCGGCCCGATCATCTTCCTAATCTACGTGGATGCATCCTGCATCCTCCATCGCCTCCTCCCATAGTATACATTCGATCGAGCGGCCCCTTCATCGTTAGCTGGCCCGATCGGTAAGTAAAAAGATTTTATATATATATATATATATATATATATATATATATATATATATATATATATATATATATATACAGCGCGTATCGTCGCGCGAGCTTTTAGATCCAGAAAAGAAGAAGAAAAAGAGGAGAAGGAGAAGGAGAGGACAGGGGAAAGGTAGACGAGGGTGATCAGAGGAAGTGATCTATGTCGGGATTGAGAGGGGGCGGAATAGGTGGAAGAAAAGCGGCCATTGCCGCAGGAGTCGTCGGCGTATCTTCCTCATGGAATTGATGTTGGACGAATGAGGGGTAAAGGACAGCCCCCGGCACATGTGAGAGGACACGTGGCGCCAGATCCGCTACCGCTCGCACCACCCGCTTGCGCACCGATCGGGGCCCTGGACCCGTCATCACCACATAAGTCTCGGTGTAAGGCCGCCGCTCCCGCTTCTGCGCCGCGAAGACCAGGAAGTGGTACATTGCATTKGGACGCTGCCCGGTCTCGTAGATGAGCGTCCCCGCCAATCGCGCCGCAATACACCCTTGGAAAGGAAGTGTCAGATATGGCTCCCACGCCGGATCAGGGCGCGGCGCCCCCGCGATGGCCTCGAGCCTGATGGTGGCAGGCTCCACCATGAAGTCCACCTCGGTTGGATGGACCGTCCGACTCGGATGAACTACTAATGTCAATGACCGGGGCACCCCGGGGTGGCTGGCGGGAACGGAGAGGTCCCGCGAGAACGGGGGGTCTGGATATGGGATCCGGAAATCCCATTCGGCTTCCTCCTCCGGCTGCTGCAGCTGATGATGGCCCGGCTCCATCAAGATTGAGATCGGGCACACGCGGAATGGGCGGCGATGGCACGATAGTCTCCTTAACGAGCGTCGCCGCGCTCCCAGGCACAAGGTCAGAAATCCGCGTACGCGCGGGCTGAACCACCTCCTCGCCGCCGCCGATCCTGTTGCCTTGCGCTCCTGGCGACGGGTGGCGTCTCTTCCTCTTCGGCGTCTTCTTGGGGCCCTTCGGTGGCGATGGTCGAGGATACGACGAGGGAGGATGCAACGGCCTTTCCTCCGGGAAGTCCTCCAATCTCTCCGCGCGCTGCGCAATGTAATCCGCGATGACGACCACGTTGTACGTTCTCCGCGGGGCCGTCGCCGTCCGCAATCGTGGTTGGATCTCCTCCTCCTCGCTCGCGATCACTTGCGCAATGGAGAGGAGCTCAAGATGTATGAGCTCCAACAATCCCAGATCGATTGTCTGGAGCGGGGCGAAGGGGTACAGCGCCACCGTCCCTTCCTTCTCCGCTGGCTTGGGCCACGCGATGACGTAGTAAACGACGAAGTGCTCCCTGATAGCGTGGTCTTCATAATCCACGAAGAACCGAAACATCCCCAGCGCCACCGACTTGTACAGCGCACGGTGCAACTCCCACACGTCTTCGTCGGCGAAGGGCAGCGGCTCCATGTCATTTAGCTCCACCAAATACTCTGAGAACTCGCGCATGGGGTAAGGGCCCTCCGTGAGCTGGTAGGGGAGGGTGGTGTAGGAGAAGAAAGGAGGCATTTAGTACGGGACAGGGGGAATAGCTTGGAGGTTGAGAGGAGCAGCGGGAGGGAGAAGCGCGGGGAGCTGTGGCACTAACGCAATCGGTCCGTCCTCTGCCCTACGCAGCAGCACTTCGTGGGCTGTGAATCGGTGTCCCCCCCGTCCTTGCACTCTGGCCACTGATCTGGCCGCTTCCACTGCGTATTCGTGCACAAAGCTGCACGCCGGTTCCTGATTCTGCTGCGGTAGGACCGTCAAGTCTCCGATGAAGGTGGCGACGCTGTGCACGAAGTTGGGTGCCACCTGGAGCGCACAAAACTCAATGAATACTTGGGTCGTCTCCTGGCCAGGCAACTGCGTCACGTCCACGTACACTCCCACATATGTCTGCCGATCGCAAAGCAACAAGTACGCTGCCAAATCAGCAACCCCGGGCGCTGGCACGTTCACCTGTTGGATGTCGTACTGCAACTGCCTCTCCTCATTAAACCGATGCCGCAACAAGCGATCTGCAAGCGGCGTCTGGAAGTGCTCGAGGGGCTCATGCTCCGGCTGGCGATGGTTCATCCTGCTCCCTGAAACTCTCTGCACCAATGGACGAGGCAGATCGGGAAGAGGAGGAGGATGAAGAAGGAGAGGGTGATCTCGCAGGAGCGGGGGTCCGTAGGGGACCTAGCGATGGCTGGAAGGGCCGGAGCGCGGCAGCGTGCCGTGTCAGCGGTCGGGCCTGGGAGTTGTGACGGGGAATCAGCTTCACGGAGTGCTGTCCCTGTGCGCCAACTTCCATGACCTCGTAAATGTCTGTGTAGCGCGGGTGGATCTTGGAGGAACGCGCAGATTTTCGTACCTGCACCAAGTCCCTAACTTTATAGCGGGACAGTGGTCCCGCCGACGCGTGTCGATTCTCGTAGTCACGGATCTGCCGTTGATGTGTCCGATCTACGGCCTGCTGTCCACGGCGAGCTAACGGGGGATAGGCCCTAGCCATTGAGTCCATGTAGTGGTGGGCCTTGTCTCGATTCTGGGCCCGTGTTGCTCTAACTTCCGTAACTACTAAGGGGGACAATTGCACCCGAGGGACGCTATTGGTTCTCAGTTGAAAGGGGGACACCCCAGTACTACCGTGTGGGGTAGCCCAATAAACGGCCAAAATGTGATCGACAATGACCGGCCAGGGTCGGGTGTCTCCCGCAATGATATTTCGTCTAAGGGCCGTCTTAATCAGTCGGTTGGCATTCTCTACCAGGCCATTGGCTTGAGGCCAATGCCCCGGTGAGTAGATAATCTTAACGTCCGCCCTGACTAGGTGACATTCTACTTCGCCTTGAAATTCCGACCCATTGTCCATGTGTACCTCTTCTACGTCTAGATGCATACACACAAATCGATTTACGTACCAGGCTACTTCCTGCGAATTCCGGTTGGTCATAGGGTACGCCTCAATCCATTTTGAAAAATGATCAAAGGCCACTAAAAGAACATTGAGCTCTCCCTGATCGACGGGCCCTCTCGGAACGTTGATATCCGTCGTATCGATGCTAACCCTCTGAAAGGGGCGCTCTACACGAGTGGGAACCATCGTCCGAGGCATCTGTACCGGCGCCTTGTCCCCCGCGCAGGCCGGGAAATTCCGAACGATGTATTTCACATCTTCCCGAATTCCCGACCAGTACCATCCGTTCTTTTCGATGGCTTTTTCCGTGTACTTGACCGCGAAATGGACCGCATCCTCCTCATGAGCAGCTCGTGTCCAATCGAACCTAGCAAGAGGGTGTGAAACCGTCAACCAGCTAGACTCTCTGTCGTCATCGACCTTTCGTGTTTGTAACATTGGGCCCAGCCAGCGATAGACCTGCGCCCTCTCCGTGACTCTCCGCCGTTCGGCTTCGGTAAGTTCTGACAACGAGTCGCCTGACAGTCTCCGTAGCAACAGAAGGTCCGTCCAGGCTTCTGCCCGGCGGGCACTTGGCGCAAATCCGTCGGCTGTTCTAGTGTCCAGATACTGCTTCTGGGTAGGGACTTGGTCCGTTCTACAGTTGGGACAGACCCACGTCTTTTCACTTCGGTACCTAACGCACTGTCCGTGAGATTTGACCGTATGACGCTGACTACACTGTACCCATAAAAGAAAACTGGGCCCTCCTGGATGTGACCCTTCTTGGTCCGGGATCATGGGCAAGGTACAGAAGAAACAGGGACTTAGGTGTGTTTCAGGGGACAAGTTGGGGCTAGACGAGAGAGCGAGGGAGTGGGATGAGTGCAGAGAGATAGCATCGGCCATCTCCGATGAAACCTCCATTCCGGACTCAGGCGTCGTCCTTACGCAGCACGTGTAACTCCCCGTAGTGTCGTTTCGTCGCCGCAATTTATGGCCTCCACGGAATGAGTCGCTCGTTGGCGGGACACTTGTTGGGCGGCAAAAGGCGCGTTAATCCATCCGCGTTACCATACTGTCGCGTGGCACGGTGGCAGATGTCGAAGTCATAGTCTTGCAGACGCACCGCCCACCTGCCCAGCGTCCCCGTGTAGTCCGTGTTGTTGCGTAGGGACAGCAGCGGCTGATGATCCGTTACCAGCACAAATTTCTGGCTGTACAGAGGTCGGAAGTGCTGAATCCCCCACACCACCGCCAGGCATTCACCTTTGCACGCTTCGTAATTAGCCTGCGCCTGGCTCAACGTCTTGGACGCATACTCAATAACGTGCTCCCTTTCGTCCTTGTCATGTTGAGTCAGCACCGCCGATATCGCCTGAGGCTGCCAGTCTGTGTACAGTGCGAACGGTCTTGTCGGGTCGGGTCGTGCCAATACAAGAGCAGATGTCAGAGCCTCCTTCAACGCCTGAAACGCCGCTTCGCATTCCGGCGTCCAGATCAACTGCTCCTTTTTCTTCAGCAGGTTCGTGAGGGGCTTCGCTATGCCGGCGAACCCCTTGATGAAGCGTCGGTAATAGGATGCCAGCCCTAGAAAAGCCCGAACCTGGGTGAGTGTGATCGGCGCCGGGGCGTCTTGAACTTCTGCCACCTTCCTCAAATCCGGTTTTAGTCCGTCGACCGTGACGATATACCCCAAGAATGAGATCTCCGACAAGAAGAACTCGCTTTTCTCCAAGGCCACTTTGAACCCTGCATCTTTCAGTGCATGCAAAACCCACTCAATGTGTTCCACGTGGTACTCGTGTGTTTTTTAAAAGACCAAAATATCATCCATGTACACAATCACGCAGAAATTGATCAGGGGCTGAGTTAGTCGGGTTTTGTTAACGAACTCAGCGAAGGCCATATTCATGGCCCGCTGAAACGTTGCAGGGGCGTTACAAATTCTCATGGGACACCGGACCCATTGCCACGTGCCCTCAAACAGGACAAAGGCGGTTTTGGGTCGGTCCTCCGGTCGGACTGCAACGTGGTGAAAACCGTGTCGGATATCGAACTTGGAACAGACTCGAGCGGCCCCGATAGCATCTAACAAATCATCGATTCGCGGCAAGGGATACACATCTTTGGTAGTGATGGCGTTCAATTTCCGGTAGTCGATACATACCCAAACCGAGCCATTTCATTTTGGCACGGGGACCACGGGAAAAGACCATGGTCCCAGCGATGGTTCGACCCACCCCAACCGCTCGAATTCCCGTACCCTTTCCAATGCCAGTTGCCTTTCTTTAAGGGAATATCGGTACGGTCGACAATGTATCGGGGCGTGATCCCCGGTGTCAATCGCGTGTTGTATCAAAGGGGTTAGCCCTATGTCGTGGTCCTGAATGCTGACGGCCTCAGGATAGGCCCATATAACCGCCAAGAGGAGGCGTTTGTATTCGTCCGGAACACAGGTTGGTAAATGAACTTCTACGGTTCCCCCAGGAAAGGAGACCGTCGTCGTAACCATGGGGACCGCCGCGTTGGCATCGGGCGAGGCCCCAAACAAAGAGTTGTCGGTTTTCGCCGAAAGGACCGTCGCAATAAGTTGGTTGTCCGCCAGACTCATCGGCTCGCTTTCCATGTCACTGTCGCTGTCCAGTTCGGGTTCGGCCGAGGTTTCGACCGAAAAGGCCTGTGCCAGTTCCCTCGGTCCCCACCGATACTCCCTCGTTCGGGGTTGAAACGACACCCCCTCGTTCAGGAGTATCGCGACTTTTTCATTCGTGAGTAGGGGCCGTGGAGGTCGAAAAGATAAATCGCACAGCCCCCTCAGCTCGGTAAACCTTTCAGGTAGGGGGTCCGTCCGGAGATACAAGGACGCAAGGGGTTCCGAAAGGTCAGCTATTCGGGACACCCTCAGCAGGGGTTCCCCCTGCACCACGGAGGAGAACGGGTGCGACCAATTGGACTCGCTCCGAACTATTTCCAGTGGTTCTCGCCGCCAAGAATGGCGCCACCGATCCTGTACTCGGATCGGATATCGGTCGGGTGCATCAGTCTTGTCAGTTTCCGTCGAGGGTTCATTTTCGTCTGGTGACAGGCGTCGGATCATGTTGATTTGATGGGCTTTAGTGGTGAGGCGAGGTGCCGGATGGGTGCGCATGCGCACCGCCAGTCTCATTGGTATCGTTTGGGGTTTGGGGTGGGCCGATGTGAGCACCACCTTACAACTGTCAAAGTGCATTCGCGCTCCGACCGCCGCCTACCACGGAATGCCTAGCAGAACATCATACGCCTGTACATCCATCACGATCACGTCACACAAACAATGCACCCGCCCCACCCGTATGGGCACGTTCGTTATTCGCCCTTTACAATGAATATTATCTTCCGTAGCGGATATATACAGTTCATCCGGCCGGAGGGCCTGAACCTGTCCTTCCCTTCCCAACTGTTTCGTCAATCTCCAAGAAATGGCGATCGCCGATGATCCTGAGTCTAGGATGGTGGCCGAGGGGTTTCCCCAGACCTCACAGTCACACTCTATGCTTTTCCAGGTTATAGGATAGGCCCAGAGGAATACCTCGGGTTTTTCCGAGGCAGAATCTACGGTCTGGATCATCCTTATCCAGTTGGCTTGGTGCACCTCTGAGGTCGAGGGCTGTGACTCCTCGTTGGTGGGTGGGTCCCGTAGGACCGACTTTTTGCCCTTTCGACTTTCCTCGAATCGGCGCTTGCTTTTGAGGCACCGTTCGATTAACTTTTCGTTAGCCGCTTCGGAAATGGTTAGCAGATATGGAATAGGGACGGGGACCCGAAGATCCAGAGCCTTCAAGGCATCCAATACGTCGATATGGCCATCCTTGTATTCAGGACCAGGTACCGCAAGATCCTCGAATCCTGGTCGCCACGGCCCGAGGTCGTTTTCCTCGGTAATCCGTTGGACGTGACGTATCACTCCGATGGTCCCAGGTTCGAACATTGCTGACGCCATATACTCATCGGGTCCCATCTCAGTGGCCGCCGGGGTCACCATCTCCGTCGTTCCTATGTCCATTACCGTGGTTACCCTCCCCTGACATGCAGCGGTGGGAGCAGCCAGCGGGATTTGGGAAGGTCCGGTGGGCCCGCCCTGAGTTCGGGGTTTCGGACAATCTTTCGCAAGGTGGCCTGGCTGATTACAGTTGTAACAGCGTAGGGGTGGGACAGCCCCGACCACGGCCGGTCTTAAAATAGGGGCTCCGGCAGCCATAGCCGCCTGTTGCCGTTGTGCGGCGGCTATGCGTTGCCGTTGCAGACCTTGAACAAACTCCGTCAACGGGGCTATTACCGTAACTAGTTGGGCCGCGACTTCTTTCATGGATGCTTCTTCCTCGCCCCGGCTTCCTTGCGTTTGACTAGAGCGATGGGAGGCCGAAGCAGAGGAAGAAGTTTTCCGATCCGAGCCTTTCTTTGCCGGTCCCAACCCGAAGCGATCTTCGAACATTCGTGTCGTAGCGGAGTAGCTATTGCGTCGAACACCCGAAGGGTCATCTTCGTCGGATTCTGAGTCCAGGCCCACATCGTAATTTTCTTGCGGATCTTTTTCCGCAGACGAGAGTCGGATAGTCCCCTGACGAAATCAGTCCGTACCATTTTCTCATCCACCCCGGAGCGTTCGGCTAGGTACGTAAAACATTCAGCATATCTAGCCACGGTCTCCTGAGGCTGCTGTGTATATTCCTTTATTAAACGGAGGCATTGACTAGGTGCGATGTGATCAAATCTATCGAGAAATTTCCTCTGGAAGGCTGCCCAATTAGTGAAGGGGTTTTGTCCGTACCACTCAAAAGCGGTTCGGCTAACCTTCCGGGAATTCGTTCTCGGAGCAACTGGTCCGACCAGCCCTAGGCTTTCAAGGCAGCTAGCCAAGTGCGAGGATCGGTGTCATCTTCAGAAAAAATGGGCACTTCGGAGGGAGGAGGTACAAAGTACAGGGGATGATTGGCCATCCCCGCGTGGTTGTTGCTGTCGTTTTCACCCCCAATTCCGGGTTCCACCATCGCGGGAGGCGGGTTTCGAGTCTGACCTCTCGCTCGGTTTTGATTGCTATTCGCGGGCCTCCGTCGACGGGGAGCCAGCCTACTCAAAAATGCGAAAAATCTAATGAAAAGATCAAAAAGAGAAAAAAGAAGAAACTTTAAAACAGGGTAATCGTCCTAGGAAAACCTCGGAGCCGAAATGAACCAGCTCTGATACCAACCTCACGCCCCCTCGCAGCTTCCCGTACGGGGTCGCCGATCAGAGTTCTAGGAGGGGCGTGGCCGAAGATTTTTGGCCGTAAGGGTTGAGTCTCCCGAACGGAACGGGAGGCTCTCGTTTCTTGGCCGAGGTTTTTCTCGGAGTCGAACGGTCGTCGCGAAGTCCCACGGGGGTCGGATTACCTCGAAACGATAAAATCAGAAGGGTTTCAGTGAAAATGAATTGTCGTCGTGCATCGGGACGGGAAAAGGCATCAAGGGGAGGAGGCCATGACGGCAGACGACAAAAACTCTGGCCTCATGGGTTCCGGGGATAGATGGTGGGTTCGAAGCCTTACGGCCTCGTCATCGGCCCCACGAAGTGGCCGAACCCTCGGGTCTTTTGCTGTAGAGGTGGTTGGTTTGAGGCCTTCAAGCCTCGGCGTCGGACTCATAGAGCCCGCGCGAAAGTTTTCGGGAGGGTAGAGCGGCGGGAGGACCCGTCGGCATCTGAATTCGAAATTGCGCGGGCAGCGCCCCCGCACTACGGGAAAGCTCGGGGAAACGTGTCGCTCCCTTGTAACCCAGGACCAGTCGT